GTGTGTGTGTGTGTGTGTGGAGAGAAGAGGAGGAAGAAGAGAGAGAGAGAGAGAGAGAGAGAGAAAAAGAGAGAAGGAAGAAAAGGAAGAAAAGAGGAAAACATTCTACTCGATGACATAACAATTTTTCTAATTGAATCCGAGCAACCTGGCGGAATTCTCGGAATCCTTTGAAACGAAGAATATGAAATTCAGCTAGTAGTAGGAATAAAACGTGAAAAGGGGGGAGGGAGAGAGAGAAACGTTGGTTCCGGTCGCGAATTCTTAATTTATTTTGTCGTCGGTGGGGAGCGACATCGCGGAGCGTTTCAACCGTGGCGCGGAAAAGCGCTTCCTCAAAGAAAGCAAGAACGGGCTTTTAATCCTTGCATTCCAGAAGGCACCTGCTTATAAGCGTGTGCCAGTGGCTGTGTAAGCCGCGAGACAATGGCGGCGAGCCATATCGCGGTGGCGGCGCTGCAGTCGGAAGCGCTTTCGAGGAACGGAAGGCCGAAGCGAAGAAGAGATTTAACACGGAATAAGACGATTACGGCTTAGCTTAACGCCTTCCACCACGCTAAAATCTTGCGCCGCCCCACCCCTTCCTCCCCGGCTCAATGCCGATTTTAACGCCGGGCTATCCTTATTGGTGTAATTGCGTTCGTTTATGCGGTTGCAACGGATAATACGCCTTATCCCCGTGTTTCCGTTTCCCCTCTCGAGAGAGCGGAGGGAAGGCTAGCAGGTATTTTTCACAAAGACGCGGCCGAGAGAATCCGAGGAACGTTTATCGTATTTGCTTGGAAATTAGGGAAGATTGGATGAATTGTAATTTTTTCTTTTTTTTCTCTCTCTCTCGTCCCATTTCTGTTCCTTCGGGACAGAAGATCGATGCACGGTATTATCTTGTGTATAAATAATTATATTGGGGTCTGGTTTCTATTCCTTAAAATTTTCTTAATATCCCTGTTTTCAATTTTCCTTTTTTCCCAAAATATAAGTATAAAATGTACGCAAAAGTACGTAGAGATTTTAATGGGCTTTATGACCGTTTAACATCCCCTCGTTGGACACTACGCACTTTCGAATTTCCATAATAATTGTAATTTCCATCGGGTGTTTATATTCAATCGTGATTTAATATGAATCAAAAATTCATACGCGCGAAGTTGACACAGTGACGAAGGGCGGCGGTATCGATTAACGATAACGTTCCAAAAGTAGGACCCCGTTTTTTGGTTCATTAAGCACGACCAATCAGCGGTAAACGCGAAATGGAAAAGCGATGCGCCGCAGTGCCCCGTGTAATCCTCGCGCGGTTCACATTTGTCGATACGTCATTAAATATTTTCCCACAATATGGTATTTATACTGCGGCCACTGTTGCATATGCATACAATCGCGGTATATGCATATTTCACCCGTATCAAAGCTAACTTCTCCCCTCCCTCCCGCGCACCGTGTTTCCATCGGCCAGACAAATTCCTCCGATTTTTTTTTTTTTTCCTTCCATTATCTAATAAATTCGCGAAATACCCTCGTTTCCACGGTATCCCGATTTTCAATCCATCGGAAATATTCCGTAAAATATTATTGGCACGATGGGAAAAGATTACACAGATTTCCGATTTCCCTAATTATTTAATTCGTTTCACCAGCGTGGCGATACTTTATCCTCCTATATGATCGAAAAACGTTCAAATTCCTCCTTCTATACGGATCAATTTCCACGAAACGTACAAAATATTTCTCTTTCCTTCAAATCGCTCGTTGCAAACATTAATTTAAACGAGACACAAATTATTATTACACATTATTTTCTTGAAATCGTAAAGTAAACCTGATAAATTAAGATATTAAAAATGATCAAATACATTTCGCGAAACTGATGATACCGAGGGAAGTTAAGAGATGAGGAAAGTTGCGAGAAAGAAATAATCGAAAAAGTCGGTCGAGTGGCGTTCGGTTTGCGATAAATCGACTCGTCTATATCGAGCAAACCCGATTCCTCTTATTATCTCTGATAACAAACGTATCATCGTGCACGTAAACTGGCCATCAACTGTCAGCGACGAAGCAACAGCGTAATCACCGTTCCGACCCGCTCTTCCGATTCCGGAAGAAGGAAACATTTCCTGCACCCGTTCGACCGTATTTCCTCCACGAGCCGAACCACGCCCCACGTTCGCTCGAATCGAGAGAGAATACGAACGATTTATACGGGCAAGATTGCGTATCACCGCGGCCGCAAGAAATCCTGCCAAGTTCGCCGCGGCCTCGAAACACAGAGGAGCCACTGTCTGGAAAGGTGGTTTGTTCCGGTGAGTGGAAGAAGTCGATAGCTTCGAGGCCAATCTTGCGTCTCGATCTCTTTCCAATCGATTCTGCACAACGTTCCTCGACCTCTTGAACGTTTTTTAACTTCTTTCTTTCTTAGCTTCTTAACTTTTTTTTTTTTTCTTTCCGTTCGATAGTCGCATTTCGCACTTGGATGATTCTATTTCTGTCTACAGTCGATCACAACTGTAAGTCACTTTTACCAATTACGGAATATTTCTTAATTATTGAAACGCGTTCGATCACTCACATTATATTAAAACAATTATTTCTTTTAAATTTGAATTTTCTTTCTTTCACTTTTGTTTCCATTCTGTTTTGTCTTCTACGTGAGACACAGTGAGCTCAGTGTAGTAAGAAACATCGTCATCCATCCACATAACACAGTTTATTCCTATTCCCTATTCCTTAATGACGAATTGTATCGTTTCGTACAAACGAAACGATTTCATCGTACGTGCTTAAGAAAGAATCGATCGGAATTAAATCAGAGGTGTTATGACGAATCAACGAATCTCGATTAATGGGGTATTATTGAAAACTTCTCGTTGATTTTCGCGATGACGAAGCGACACAATGGAAGCGTTCAAAGGATTTTTAAATCTGGACCCGCTCGTCGAGAAACTTCGATAATTCGGTTACGCATTCGCAATGGACTTATCCTCCCCTTCCAGGGACTTTCTCCAAGACTCTTCGTTGACTCGATTTTCTCTCGAGCAAGATGTAAAGAGCGAACGGGGATAAGTGGGAGAGAAGGTTGAAGAAAACTAAAGAAGCTTTAATCGGCTTTTGCTTTCTCGTATGGAATACGAGATATTTTTGATTCGATGTAATTACGTTACAACAACTTGTCTCTTATATCTAATTTCGTAACTCTCTTTTGCCGAGATCCTACCTACCTTCTTTTTTTATCGAATCTATTCGCGATATTCAATCTTTCCAACAATGTTTCCAACAATCTTTTTTGAGTTAGAGTTAGATTTCACGATTCGTTAGATTTTCGCGGTAATTCTTGAAACACTTGAATATTTTCTTTAAAAATGACAATAAAACTTTTGGAAAAAAAAAAAAGAATAATATCAACGAAAGATCAATATTGTTGGAAGAAAGAAGTGGTTAATTCAACGATTTTGCGATCTCTCCCTAAAGAAAGAAAAAAGGAAAAAAAAAATAATAAAACCGCATCATTCGACAATAATGGGGGAAAAAAGTTAAAGCTAACGGCCTCGTTTCTACCTGCTTCGAGTGGAAACAAGATGGAAGAACGATAATAGACTACAACGGGACGATAAGACCGTATTTCGAAGCTTCCTCCGTTCCGTGGAAGGCCACTTCTGTCCTCTTCAGGGACGGCAAGTTGCCTCGGCTAATGCACGTTAATCGCACGCTAGCTGACGAACACTCCGCAAACGTGGTCCCCTCGACGACATGAATGATTCAGCGGGCGAGCGGAGGGTCATTATTGTTATAAAGGGTGAATGAATTTTACACGGAAGCCGTGGGGTAACGAGGAGAGGGGGAGGGTCGAGACGATGACCGCCGACATTTATTACGGTTCGATCACCGGTTGAAATCGGATCGATGAACCCTTGCGAGAAGGGGACAACGAGTGGGGTGAAAATTCGGCTGGCCCGAACAACAATCCTAACGAAGATAAAAAAAAAAAAAAAACCTTACGACAATTCGATTAGGGATATGGTTGAAGGGAACGAGGAGAGGGAGAAGTGGGAAATCGTGTGAATTATCCTTTTTCTCCCCCCTCCCTTCCTCTCCTCGTTTTATGAAATTCCTGTCATAAGTTCCTCTCGGATAAGTTGATTGGATTGGCCGGCCGCTGCATCCGCATCCCGTAACCCCATTTTCCAGCGGAGAGAAGCGGAGCCCTGGATTTATGGTACGAGCCACGCGTATATCGACGCCGCGGCTTAGATTTCGATTTGGACCTCGAGCTCTTGGCTCGAATCGCGCCAATTTTCACCGACGTGCATCTTCGTGAAACGTGCACCACGAAGATGAAACTTTATGAAATTCGTGAGAGATGGGCCGAGAGGTGTACTCGAGATACTTGGATGATATCCTCGGTTCGTTGGAAATCGTCGCAATCGGGGAAAAGGAGGAGGATATTTCGAGGATTTTTGGAGGAGGAACGTGGAGGAGGAACGTTGGGTTAAGGGAAGAAAGGTTTGGAATTTTTAAGCCATCGTCAACGATACTGGATTTCGATCGAGTCAGCCAATTGCGCTGTTCGCCCGTGACTTAAGCAAGGTAATACGAATGAAAAGAGCCGATTGAACGGAGGCAAGTACTCACCGGGTCGTTGGGCGTGCGTCTTCGCTTGTTCGTTGACGTTTCACTGCATCTTCGACTTCGTGGTTGGAAGAAAATCTGCAAACACGAGGATAGAACAGCTTCAGCCTCGAGAATTCTTATTTAACCACGAAGCAATGAAATATTATTCCAGTTTCGAGTTACCGAATATTCTCTCTCGTATTCACCTTTCTAACTTGACCCGAATCCAAAATTGCTCTCCCCGTCGAACGATCGCAACACATCGCGCTTCCCTTCAAACAATTAAAACCACTCGGAATAAAACAGTTCCTTTCGTCCAAAAATACGAAAACGAATCGAAAAATTCTTATAAAATTGCTCTCGCGTAGAAACGATAAGACGCGACAACGGTTGAAGAAGGTTTGTCGCATTGATTCCAGGAGATGCGATCTACAGATCGCCGCATCCCTTTACGTGTTCCCCGGATTTGAGATTGGCCGCAGCCCTTAGGTAATAGATACCCCTCTTTATCATTTTTACGATTGGACAGGAGGTTGGGTGCGATAAAACACAGGTCTGACTCGTATAATATTTCGCTTAAGAATTCGCGAATAGACGTAGAACGGGGGTAAATACGTAGCGAGCGTATATCTGATTTAATGCGGAAAAGACGGAAGCGAGATTGCGAGAGCCGGATGGAAATTTGACGAGTGCACAGACGAACCGTTGCTAAAGGATTCATCGAGAAAGCTTCGCCTGCTCGCGGCAGGGTTATTCAATCTAATAACGAATTCATTCGATGACAGGGCGCTGCTCTGTCAACACGGAATTCCGCAAATTTGTATTGGAATATTGTGACGGAAGATTGTGCAAATTTTTTTCTTTTCTTTTTTTTGGGGGGGGGTTCGATGCTCGAGAGATTCGTTCTATGCGTTCCTGTTCGTTGTAATTGTGCTCGTTCTTTCGTCGCTTGATACAATTCGCAATGATAATCGAACGATTTCTTAAAATTAGTTAGTTCACGAGTGGAAGAAGAAGAAGAAGAAGAAGAAGAAGAAGAAGAAGAAGAAGAAAAAGAAAACTAAACTAATTTCGGATTAATTTTCTAATTTTTCGAATGGAATCGAATGCAATCGAAGCATCGTATTAATTCGAAGGGAGGGGAGGGGGGGAATAATAGAATTGATTTCGAGCTGACCCAGAATGGGAGAGTTAATCGAATACGAGCGGATACGAGTTTAATAATAGAAAAAGTTTCCAGTCTTACAAATTTAACAAGGAGCCCGGCTTCTGAAGTTTCCTATCTTGGTTCTTGAGCCGAATTCATTCAACCGAACGATCAAGGCAATCTCAGCGTGAACCTCTCAAAGAGGTTCCATAGGGGATCGATATGTGTTGGTTTAAATGCTGCAGCACTTTGAATAACTCTCTCTCTCTCTCTC